CCGTTGTCTATTTTTTTTTTTTTTTCCTTTCTTACCCTCCTATTGCCCTTTTTCTTTATATACTTTTTTTTTTTTTTTTACTCCCGCCTCCCTCGCCGTTTTCTGCCCTTTCTTTTTTTCTCTTTTTTTATTTTGAGGGTGGGTGGGCTTGCTTTGCGCGGGGCGGCTTCTCGGCCCTTGCCCCACTATTTTTTTGCTGCATCGTTGGGTGCCGCCGCCACCTCACACTACGCCGGATACCAAAGTGGCGGTGAAGATGGCCCCGAGCAGCCACTCGGCCAGGGAAAGTGGAAAAAGCAAGATGTTAAACGGAAACGGCGCCGAAAAGCCGTTCGACGCCTGCCAGAGAAACCCCATACACGCCAGCGCACCGACGAGGGCCGAGCTGCGCTGGCTGCTGATGGCCACGCCCTCCTCTACGAGCCCCGCTTCCTTTCCAAAGGCAATGGCGTTCCCAACGAGCATTGTGGCACCACGCAAAGCGCAATGCAAGGCCATGACGTGCCGCTGCAACACCGTAGCGATTGTCACGCCGATGAAGTTCAGGGTGCAAAACGTGATGGCATCAGCCAATTTTTTTTGCTCAGGCGGGAGGAAATCTTCAATAAAGTCTTTTAATGGGAAGTGGGATCCCATGGCGTTGGCAAGGCCGCAGGCGAACACCAGCGCGTTGGCGAATCTGCTCTTCAGAGCCGCAAGAACTGCAAGAACTGCGAAGATCAAACCGTGAAAGGCCTCCTTCAAACCAACGGGATCCACGGAGCGAAGAAACACACCGAGCTTGCGCGAGAAGAGTTCATTGCGGGAAATTTCTTGCACGTCGGGAACGCCATTTTGATCTTCATCCAAAAGGTCGTCCTTCAAGCTAGCCTCTCGTGCCGCACAGTAATTTGCGTAGAGTGTGCTCAGGTTCCTCCTCACGGTATCCCATGTGGTGAGGTACACTACCTCCACCGAAGTGATTAGCAGAGTGTAGCACCCACCAAAGAAGCAGACACAGAACCCAATAAGCAGCGGCCAAAGGTACTGCAAGCCATGCTCCCGCAACGGTGAGGAGGCCTCCACGACCTTCTCGTAGATGTGCTCTCCGATGGGGTAGGCGTAGTCAAGTGCATTTAACCCCTTCATTACCACGCCATAAGCGACGCGTATTGCGGTGGCGTAAGCAGGGTACTTTTTCTCAATGGTGGAAAGTGTATTTGCTTTTGGCGATCCCATTGCGTGTGACTTCGCCTTTGTGGTTGCTTATGGGCGTACGTTCAAAATATATTGCTTGTAGGTGATGATATGCCTGCGACGCCGTCGCCAACCTCTGCTATCAGCTCCGCACTGCGTCCCCTTTGCTCCCGCCCCTCTGTTAGCTTATTGTCTGGCGCTTTTCTTCCCTCTCCTTCACTCGCTCAAGCTTCCACCTCACCTTGTTTGTTTTTATGCTTTTGTGTTTTTAGTTTTGTTTTCGTTCTTGTTTTTGCCTATTGCGTTGTCGTGTTGTAGTTTTCCCTTCTCTATTAAGCACGGCAACAGCAACCAAGAGACAGGTTGGTCATGGGGACTGGGGCTGTACACCAGAACAGGCGGTACACTTTCGCCACCACCAGGCCCCGCAGAATGCGGCAACCGCGACGCACCCCTACGCATGCGCCGCACTGCATCAATGAAGTATCCCGTGTGATGGGTTGGCAACACAACCCCCACGGCCATCGCCCCGCACGGGTTACTCGGTTCCAGCAGGCGACGCAGCACATGATACATCTGCACATAGACGGGGATAAAGGCGTCTACGCGAAAAAAAAACTCCATCATCATCGTCACCGCCTTCGCCCCTTGTGCGCCGGTTGTTGGGACACAAATCGGCACCGGCAATGCAAGCGTGCCAACCAGCGGTAACACATCTGGCTACCGGCGCACCATGGATGTAGCAGCAGCAGAAGCATGAAGAGTTATAGATACGACCCGGCTTCGTTGCCACACAGCGTTGATATACGCCTGTCATGGCATGTTCCAACTCTCGTCATGCAGCAGTGCCGATTGGGGCGCACGTTGGTGGGACAGGGTACAGCCCACCTCCGTGCGCAATGGCGGCCGCACCTCCTGGTAAAACCCTGACAGGGTCACACCGCGGCTACTGCTAATGCCAAGCAGAACAGGGCAAAACAGTTGGCGGTATGACAGTATCATTCCGACGCTACCCCGCACATACGCACACCCGCCTCCCTCCCTTCAAGACTCTCTGTGGGTGTTGTTGGTGGGTGGGGGTGTGTGCGTATGTAAATTTCTCTTTCATTCGCCAACGCACAGACACACACACACACACAGAGAGAGAGATAGTAGATAGATAGAGAGAGAGAGAGATTTATGTCCCTTCGAAATTGTTAAATACACACGGAGGGATCAAAAAGAAGGGCAAACCAAAAACAAAAAAGACTTGTGTGCGTGTGCGCATGGGGAAGAAAAAGGGAGAGGGCGACACACCCGTTTTTCCTTTAATTTTACTCAACCAATCGCTCCAACTCCTCAACAGATAGCGGAGTTGTGAAGGCGCCAACGAAAGGATTGACAACCCGAAGGAATTCCGCCACATCCACACACATCTTGCAGTCCACGTGGCCCCCGCCCATCCAAAACACGGGCGGGGAAAGCTCCACAATGCGGTCGCTGATAATAACAGGAACCGCTTCGGTGGTGCCAACTGGGGCCACCGCACCAAACCCGAAGCCCGTCAGCTGCAGAGCCTTCGCAGGCTCTGCAAGGCGAAAGTTAAACTTCTTCTTTCCCATGCCCTTGTTCATGGCCATCACGAAACGCATGATGAGGCGCTCGTCAAAGCTCTCCGTATACGGAAAGACAGCGATGTAGTAGCGAGAGTTCTCGCGGTGGCCACAGTCTGTGTGGGGGCAGTGCGTGTTCTCCAGCACGATAGACTTGCACAGGTGGTAAATAGAGGGGGCCGCCAAAACATCACGTCGCCACTGCAGCGGCTGTTGGTAATAATCCGCCGGCACCCACCGGAAGCGGGCGCTGTGAAGTCCATGTGCCAAACACCACCGCCGCAGCGCCGCCACCTCCGCCGTGTCCCGCGCGCACGGCTGCAATTCCAGCAGGCCCGAAGTATCACGACACTGGGCCAGCGCCCCCGCAGGCACCGCTTCCGGCGCGCCACGCGACATGAGGCGCAGTCTCGCAATGTCCCGCTCAATTTCCTGAAAGCGTGCAGCCACAGCCGCCAGGCGGGCTTCGTGGCCCTTTGGCATTTCCCTTTCTCACTCGTCCTGCCCTTATCTTCCTACCGGCGACAGGGGGGAAAAGAGAC